TAGTTGGTTTATATTTTTTAAGATATTTTCCACTTATTGGCCTTTCATGCACCTCACCATCCAAATCTTTCTACTTATAAGCACCTCCATGTAACACTTAGTGGACTATATATGGCCCCTTCCAAGTAGGGGACCATTTTCCATAAGTCCTATCCACCTTTCCGGGTAGAAGAATTGTTTGCCAAATCATATTACCCTCTGCAAATGATTTAAACTTTACCCTTTTGTTGTAAGCCTTCATTACCTTTGCTTTACGGACCATAAGATGGTCTAAAGCAAGTTTCTGAACCTCTTCTAAATCTTCCAACTCGGCAAGCATAGCCTCATTGTAATCGGCGGGTATAACATTGTGTTGTAGAGCTACCCTTACCGATTTTACATTTAACTCCATTGGCAACACAGCATCATGGCCAAATGTTAGCCGATAAGGAGTTGTTTATGTACTTGTCCTTTATGAGTTTCTGTATGCCCACAAGGCTTTTAAAAGGATTTCATGCCAACGTCTTGGTTTATCCTTTATCATTTTCTCTATAATTTCAATTACAACTTTATTTGAAACATTGGCTTGACCATTTCCTTGAGCATAATATGGCGTTGAAGTTAACATTTTTACTTGCATATCTCAGCCGAGTTGTAACACTTCACCTGCTCGAAATGTAGATCCATTGTCGGCAACAATTATTTCGGGTAAACCAAATCGATGAAAGATGTGTCGCTCCAAAAACTGTATCACAGTATTGTGAGTTACTGAGATATATTCCTCGGCTTCTACCCATTTAGTAAAATAATTGGTAGCTAAAATAATCCAATGATGACCCTTTGATGAAAGAGGATTAATCTTGCCGATTAAGTCCATGGCCCAACCTCTGAAAGGTCATTGTTTAACTAATAATTCCATCTCTATTGCTGGAACCCACTGCATTGGGCCATGCTTTTAACAATCTATACAACCCTTTTGCATAGGTCATACAATCTTTTCTCATTTCAGGCTAATAATATCCATATCGGCGTATCAACCATCTCATTTTTATGCCAGCTTGGTGAGCTCCACATATTCCTTCAGGTACCTTTGCCATAATCTTTAAACCTTCAAACATGATAATACATTGAAATAACAAACCATCGTCAGCCGATCTTCTATAAAGATCTCTATCCATAAGTACATAATCGACTGCACTTCTTTTTATTCTTCGATCGGCTTCTGGAGTTGGATATTATAAAAACAAAATGTAAGGGATCCGCTAATCACCATCATCTAACTCGGCAACATCAGTGGCAAAGACTTCTTCCATAACTTGATTTCTTGTTTTAGTCGATGGAAGAGATCGGCGTGTAATTTTCATTATCCTTTCCTTCATACCACTCGGCACTCTAATTCCTGAAGCAGTTTGTGCTAAATCATTAGCTATTTTATTCATGGCCCTTAGTCTTTATTCCAAAGTCACGTTGTGAAATTGGTTGACCAATTGGGTTGCCAAGGAATGAAATGGCCTTAATTGCCAATTTAGACATCTAAAGTCTTCTGAAATTTGATTAATCACCAAACTTGAATCTCCCACTTTGTGGACATCCTCGACTGCCATTTCTAGCAGAATTTCTAACCTGATAATCAATGCTTCATACTCGGCTCGATTATTTGAGCACCTAAAATCCAAAAAGAAGGAAAACAAAATTTGGTTCCCTGATGGGGATATTATTACTATACCAGCTCCAGAGCCTTCACTGGTACTCGACCCATCAAACATTAAAGTCCAAGGTCATGAATATGGCTGTCGAGTCAAGCTCATCAAACACTTGTGATTCTATTTCAGGTGAGGGATGATTGGCAAGAAAATCTGCCAATGCTCTTCCCTTAATTGCCTTTTGTGAAACATATGTAAAGTTGAACTCCATTAGGGCCAGAGCCCACTTGCCAATCCGGCCTATGATTAATGGCCTTGATAGTATATACTTTATAAGATCTGTTTGACAAATAATATAAACCAACACAGGTAACATATATACTCTTAATTTCATTACTTTAAAATACAAAGCCATACATAATTTCTCAATCGACGTATATATACACTTGACTGGAGTTAAAACTCAGCTGAGATAGTATATTGCTTGTTCACTTCTTGCTTCATTCTCTTGTGCCATCATACTTTCAATGGATTCTTCAGCAGTCGATAAATATAACTTCATCGGCCACTTCTTCCTCGGCGGCATCATCACAGGCAGACTCGATAAGTATTTTTTGATTTGTTCAAATGCCCTCTAATGTGTATCATCCCATTTGAATTCTTCCATTGGCTTCAACTTGAGTAAAGGGAAAAACACATGTAACTTACCAGCTGTATTGGTAATAAATCGTCTAAGATAGTTTACTTGACCAAGTAACCTCTGCAATTGCTTCTTGCTTCTCGGTGCATTAGCATCAATAATCGTCTTAGTTTTATTCCTATCGATCTCTATGCCCCTTTGGTGTACCAAAAATCCCAAAAAGTTTCCTGCCGATACTCCAAAGGCACACTTTATTGGATTCATCTTTAACTTATGAGCTCTCATTCTCTCAAAAGATGCTTTGAGATGAACTAAGTGTTCCTTTTTTGTTGCTGATTTTACCACTACATCATCAATATATACTTCCATAAACTTACCGAGCATATCATAGAAAATAGAATTCATAACTTGCTGATAAGTAACACCAGCATTTTTCAATCCAAAAGGCATTACTACCCACTCAAAAGGTCCAATCGATCCTGGACATCTGAAAGCTATCTTTGGGATATCCTCCTCGGCTATATAAAACTGATTATAGCCTAAGTGTCCATCCATAAAATACATGATTTCATGTTTTACAGCCACATCAATCAGTTGATCGGCTATCAGTATTGGATACTCATCTTTAGGAGTCGCCGAGTTTATATTCTGGAAATTAACACATATTATTTTCCATTTTTCTTAATAACATGAACTACATTTGATAGCCATTCAATATACTTTGTAGTTCGAATGAACCCAGCATCCAACAATCTTTCGATTTCCATTTTGACTTTATATACCACTTCTTGAGACATTTGGCGAGATGGCTGTTTATATGGCTTGTATCCGTCTTTAATGGGCAACCGATATTCCACTAGATCTCTAGATAAATCAGGCATTTCCTCATAATTCCAAGCAAAACAGTCACTATATTCTTTTAACATGCCGATTTCCTCGGCTTATAATTCTAGTTCTAACAGTGCACTAATGTAGGTCGATCTAGGTTTTGTATCAGTACCGAAATTCACCTCCTTTAATGGATCTTGAGTTTCTGCTTTAAGATCATCAAGCTTAGCTGGTGCTAATTCCAAGTCTTCTAATTGAATAACATCTAATTTTTCATTATCGATCTGATCAACTTCGGCAACACTAGCCGATAGCCTTGGGCTCTATTTTTGCCTCCCTTTCTAGTCATTTTTTGGCTATGTATGCTTGTAACCTAACACAAGCAGCCCTATAGGCCTGCTGCCGAGCTGCTTCTCTTTCAAGTTTCGCTTCCATTAAAAACTTCTTCTTCAACTATAGTCAACCGAGGGAGTTCTACCTTCGACCTAGAACTTTTCTACTGTAATTCGCTGATTTCACGATTAGCAAGAATTCTTCTCATAGTTGCTGATGTAGGTCTTCCATCGGCCCTTGTTCCCACAAATTGAATCGAAACACACTCTTCATCATACAAAATATCATCTGCCGAATATACTTTCGCCACAAATGGCTTATCATCGGCATTCACTATTTTTACTTTATCCCTATCCCAAAAGATCAGCATTTGATATAATGACAATGGGATGCACATATTTAAATGAATCCAGTCACAACCTAACAACAAATTATATGAGGCCGTGGATTTAATAATAAAAAATGTCGTGAATAATGTTCGTCCTCCAACTTCGACCTCTAAAGGAAGAATTCCTTTAGTGTTAGTAGAACCTCCGTTAAACCCACAAATTGCTACATCAGTGGGAATAACATCTTCCATACTCTTACCGAGTTTCATCAAAGTATTAGCTGGGATAACATTCAGAACAGAGCCATTGTTAACCAAGACTCGGTTAATAGGTTGGCCCTCTGCCCATACTTTGACATACAAAGGCCTTAGTTTTTGAGTCATCGCTAACAAAGGTTTCTCAAATACTACCTTTTCTGTTGATTCTAAGGAAAGAATTGATAAATTCTGAATCGACTGAGTTTCTTTCTCTTTATTTTCAGTACTTGCAGTTAATGTCGATGGGGCCTGGAACATTGCTGGTAATACAAATGCCATATTACATAACATTTCATCTAGGAGACTACTAAATCAAATTTTGAACTCATTGTTACGTCTGGGCCATGTCGGCTGATGTTCTTCATTCGTTTGATCTTTATCTAAAATGCTGATTTTCTCAGCCAACTCTTCTTTGCTTCCCTCCTCGGCTTTCATTTTTTCCTTAGCCTTTCTCCTTTATTCCCTACGTTTCTGAGATCGAGTAAGGCCTCCATTCTGATATTGTTGAACTTTAGGGAATTTTAGGTGACTGACTTGAGTCCATCTGTACTCCATTGAGTCCGTCCTTGGTTTTACAGTCCGTACTTTAGGTGACTTGGCTCCCTTTTATATCTAAATTTCTGATTGAACTGGCGACTGCCTTTTAAAACTAGTTTGCCAATTTTGGGAATGGAATCGGCTAGATATATATACTTGCCGATTCTGCTTTTCTGCCTTCAAATAACTACTGCTGGAATCATTCTGTCGAGGCTCTTCCCTAGGCTTAATTGGGAAAGTAAGCCTCTCAAGAATTCCTTTCTTCTTTGGTTGAATCTTCATCGGATCCTCTTCCTTAAGTTTCTATTTTCCTTTGTAATTTGGGCAACAACCTTGATCTATCAGGGCCAATTGAGCGTCTCTTAATTGTTTCTGCAATTCTGCTATCTTTTCTAGTGTCATACTTGATGATAGGAACTTATTTTGATATCTTCTCAGCCTCTTACTGATTTTCTCACTTGGCTAAGCTTATCACATTTGTAGACTTGATTGTAGGGAACGGATTAATATCCACCTTCATAGTGTCTGAAGTTTTCTCTGGGAATTTTAAAGTACCTTCATCAATAGATTTCTGCAATATACCTTGTAGAACAATACAATCATTAGTAGCATGGTTCCAAGAGTTATGATACTTACAATACTCTTTTCCCTTGAGGTCACTTGCTGATGGAATCTTATGCCCTTTAGGCAAAGAGATCATTTTGTCGGCCATCAAATGATCAAAGATTTGATCTGTTTTTGATAAGTCAAACGAGTAGTTTTTCCCTATATCAGCAGGACCTTTCCTTGCTGCCGATATTGATGTTGCATTGCCCCCCATGATTGACTTAGATTTGACCAATGCCTCACAGATGTATGGCTTCTTGATATTGACCTCAGCAACGTTAACTTCTAATTCATCTCCAACTTCTGCCGAGAATACCTCATAATTAGGGTCCTTATAATAAGTACCCTTAGAGGAATTCTTCCTCTCTTTCTCTTCTTTAAGTATCTCCTCAAACTGAGAAGCCCTGTCTACTAAATCAAAGAGATCTTGAAACTCAACCCCATCAAACCTCTTGCGATGTTCAATGTCTAAACCATTTAATGCCAACTTGATATATTCTGGTTCTGGCAAACTTACTCTGCATTTGAGTTTAGCTTTTCTGAACCTAGCAACAAAAGTTTCAATCGATTTGCTCGGCAACTGAGATAGTCGAGATATGTCTGCCAGCGTAGCTTCTATCTCTGTTCGGTAGAATTGAGTATGAAAAGCTTCTTCCATTTCATCCCTTGTCTGGATAGAATTTGCTAGTAAATTACTATACCATTCAAATACAGCCCTAGCAAGAGAGCTAGAGAATAACCTCATCCTCAACCAAGGATTAGGACCTGTTTCAAGACATTGTGCTGTGAACCTTGCAATGTGCTGCACCATAAAAAAATTCTCTTCGCTATAGTACATAGAAAAATCGAGATACCGATAATTTCTAGGCAACTCATGAGCATCAACATAATCAGGATAAGGCTTTCTATATACCGGCCGAGCACGTCTGCGACCTTGTGCCAATTCAGCTTGTATTAAAGCCAACATCTGAGCCCTATTGATCCTTGCGTTTCTACCTAGAGGATCATTTGGGTGCAGCAGAATAAATGGATTAACCCACTTTCATTATGGATCGGCATTTACTTGCCCCTCGGCAGTAGCTTGAAGGATCAATAAATTAGCCCTACCTGGATTTTGGTTACCCAACACTTCTTGCTGATCTCTCACTAGAAGGATCGGCTGCACATATGGACGCTGCATATTTTGATTATGTTGATTATTCACTGGTGGCTGATACACCAGCACTGCAGTTACTGCCGGCAGATCCGATAATATTGGTGGATTACCAATCAGCATGCCGAAAGTAGGATTTGGCACATTGCCGATTGTGAGGCCAAGTGTTGTGCTTGGCGGTATGATACCTGTTGATGCTGTTCGATGCCCTTGGGATATATGTATCAATGGTGCCAACATACGTTGAAATATGGATTCATTGGGATGAAACGTTTCGGCTTGGTCATGTCAATTTTGGTTAGCCAATATGTTGATTTCAAGCCTTTGACTCATCTTCTCCATTTGAGCATACATCATTTGATTTAACTTTCCGGTCATTGATCTTATCTCATGTATTTGAGAAACTAAAATTTGATTGGACTCTCCCATTTGGGACTTTACTTCACCAATCTGAGCTTGTTGGGCATCCATTTTCTGCATAATTGATTCCAATACCCAACCCAAAGGAGTGTCGGATGGAACTGATGAATCGGCATCATCGCCTACGCCGAGTTGCTGGTTTTCTTTGTCAGTATTGTCACCTGTAGTCACACCTTTCGAATTTCTTAGCTTTGGAGGCATATTTACTATAATTTACTCACCTGATGGGTCCCATTGGGCGTGATAAGAATGTTGACGTTAAAATCGGCCGGCTAGAGCCGATCTTAAATTGATGTATAACGGGCGTGCCAGAACCAATTATATGGTTCGATTGTAAAATAGTCAACTGTAGTCTCTTTGGAAGATTGACTTTTAGGCAATATAAGGATAAAGAGAACTGTGATATTCCTCTTAGAGTTCAAGAATTGCCTTAGTTAAAAGAACTTTTAATAGAATAAATTATAATAACATTTAGAGAATAGAAAACGGAATAAACAAATATAGAAAGAAAGATTGAGAGAGAAAGAGAGCGAAATAAATAGAGCGAGAGATTGAGAGAGATAGATAGAGAGAAAGAAGAAATAGCAAGGATGCTATTATAAGAAAAGCTTGAGAAAGCAAACAAATAAATTAAAGAATTTTGAGGGTGCTGGACCTCTTCCTCAACATGCCCCGTTGTTTATTTATAAAATAAACTATAAAACAATTTCCTAAATACAAGCATTCCAATTGTATTGTAACTCTATAATATAAGTAAAAAATTATTCAAATTGAACTAATTATAACTAAATACAAATTCTTAACTAAATACAAATATAGTTTGTGTGCTCTTTCTCCAAGTTATATTTCTTGAAAAAGACAAAAAAAAAAAAAAAAAAATGTATTCCAATTTCTGTCTTCCCAAAACTTCTGACCAGAATTGCATCTTTATATCATTATGTATCCAAATTGTTGGTTTATGATTATATTCTCTTCCCACTCCTATAAATATATATGTGAAATGAGAAAATATGACTGAAGAGACTCAATTTAATTGTACTGATTTGTGTATCATAGTAGATAGTTAATTAATTTTAAAAAATATTAGTATAGTTAATTTGCTGGTTTGTTAGTTTGTTTTTCTTACATTCAGACATCACTTTTGGGCCCCAATAATATATTTTTGTATCAGAAAAGGCTACGTCTCTTTTTCATCTGTACAAAAATGCCTTTATCACATATAATTTGATATCTTTACCAGTGTTATCCTTTTCTTTTCCCAAGGTCATCCCAATTAAAAAAATATTTTTTGGGAGCCTTAAAGTAATAGCACCTTTGGAAAACACGCAAAAAATATTAAATAAAGTTTACACATCTAGGATAGATATAAAATTGCAATTGATCCGAAACATAAACTCTGCTCACTTTGGGTCTGCTCTCTCTGCAGGTGAAAGGGAAAAAGGGGGCGTGAGTGCTTGATGGGTTCTTGTACGAGTTCTAAAAGCAAAGCTGAGACTCCTCGTCACCCAGGTTCACACAACTTTTTATTCAATTTTCTAGAACACGTGTCATATTTTTATTGGCTTGCACCACCTATCAAGAACTAACTTGATTATGATAGGGCTGGACCACAATGAAATCAACACAATCTCGATAACCAGACCTTTTCAGCCTTTGGTATCAAGTAGAGCTCGTAATTATGGTGCAGCTAAATTTGCTAGCATATCACGAAAATTCAATGAATTCACATGGATATATTCAGTGCAAACTGCAAACACTATATATATATATATATATATATATATATATATATATATATATATGTATATGTATATGTGCATGCATGAACCTAAATTTTCTCTGAGCAGAGCAATTCAATTCAATACCAAAGTTGTTAAATTCGGAATTCTACGCAGAATCGTTTTAGATTTCGTGGGATCGGAATCGTAAAATAAGATCGTGAATCGTAAGATTCTATCAAATTATAAAAAAATAATTGAAACTAACTTCTTAAACAATAAGATCGGTAAAATATAACAAAAATAAGGTCAAAACACACGATATTACACATCCATAAATTCACAAATCTCAAATCCTAATATTATTTCAAAGTCCGAATATAAATAATAAAAAAAATATAGCTCAAAATAACATGAGTTCACAAATCTCAAATCGTAACTCATCCATCTCCAAAGTTAGAAACTAAAATTACATATGCAATTTCTATTTTTTTTTTTTTTCCTCTAAAAGTGAAGAAATAAAAAGTCCTTTTTGTCCACCAATCCAAGTGTTATGGTGTATGTGACCTTATTAGTCACAAGTATGAAATTAATCAAGAGTTAGCATAACAAAATTAATGAACCACGTATTAACTCGATCCCATTATACTATCAGTTTAGATTACAAGATTATACCTTGACAGACATATCCGGCAAGTCGTACGTCTAAGCTTTTTAAATTATTTTTAATTTTAATATATATGATAAGCCTTCATTTAAAATAAAAAAAAAAATAGTCAAATATGCCTAAACTTGTTAGCCACGAGTATGCACCCTTGAGATATAATTGATCATTTTAATTTTTTATAATTAAACATAAAAATATATTATGGAACATCGACCTGCATGATAAAAATAATTGATATATATGCATATATATATATATTTCTTTTTCTGTCGCTAATGAAAAATAATTAATATTTATGTGACTTAATCCTAACCTGTTAGCCACGAGTATGCATCCTTAAGATATAATTAATCATTTTAATTTTTTATAATTAAACACAAAAATATATTTTGGAACATCAACCTGCATGGTAAAAATAATTGATATACATACATATATATATTTCTTTTTATGCTACTAAAGAAAAATAATTAATATTTTATAAAATAAATATTTAACTTTGTATACTATACTTGGGTCAGGCCTTTTTTATTTTATAGCCCAGAAGGAACTAACCCAAAAATAAAGGTCCAAACAACCAATTTTGTAGAATTGGTAGAATCTTGTACGATTCTACAATTTTACCCCGATTCTACCGATTCTACCCTTGGCCGATTCTACCAAATGAACAATTTTGCTAAGATTTAGATCGATTTTGGATTTTGAGTCGTAGAATTGTGCTTGTTGAGGCTGAAATTCGCGCAATCCGATACGATACCGTTTTCCTGTAAGGAAGAGAGGAGAAGATCGATGAACCTTGACGGCACCGGTGTGGTGCCTGCCAAGAGCTCTCCGACGATCAAATTAGTCACGGAGATCTAAAAAAAAGGCAGGGATTAATAATAGTTTTTACGTCGTACCTTCTTTAATGGCTTGATGCCCTATTTATGGCTGTCGATTGGAATCAAAATCGTTCCGCTGATATCGATGGTTGACCTTATCTTCCGCTTGTGCGAAATCATAGGAGATTTATTACCAGATTTGTCGGGATATGATTTAATCCTTTTAACCTCCTCTAGTTATAGCAGGATTATTCTTACTTGTTGAACCACGTCAGATTTGATTTCATTATCCTTGATAATGAAATCTAATCAATCTTATCGAGGGTAGGGTAAGTTTATATTTTTCCCTATCAGTTGCCCCCTATTCCCAAGCTTGCACGTCTAGCTTTGGGAATGTAATAAATAATAATAATACTTTTTCTTTTTCTTTTTCTTTTTTTTTTTTTTTTTTTTTATTCAACCCCTGTGAACAGTACCCGCGGGTACTATTCACGTAAATAGTAACTTAGAAACTTTTTTTTTTTTAAATACCTCTGTGAACAGTACCCGCGGGCACTATTCATGTGAATAGTAACTCAGGGTGTTTTTTTTTTTTTTTTGCACCCGAGGGAACAGTACCCTCGGTTTTTTTTTTTTGCACCCGAGGGAACAGTACCCGTGGGTACTGTTCCTGAATAGTTTTTTTTTTTTTTTTTGGCACCCGAGGGAACGGTACCCTCGGGTACTGTTCATGAATAGTAATAATAATTTTTTTTTTTTTTTTCAACCCCGGTGAACAGTACCCGCGGGTACTATTCTCGCAAGCACTATTCATGTGAATAGTAACTCAAGGTTATTTTTTTTTTTTTTACCCGAGGGAACAGTACTCTTCCTTTTATAAGGAAATAAATTATACGAGTTTCACTCCTTAATAAGGGAATTTACAAGTTTTACTCAGCTCGTCCCTTTAGTAAGGGAATTGAACTTTACGAGTTTTACTCAGTTCACCTCTTTAATAAAGGATTTTTATTTACTATCACTTATTGTAAGGGGATATTCATTATGAAATTCATCCAATCCAGGTCCTTGTAGTACAGGACATTCATTTATTATCCTTATATTACAGGGATATGGATTACGGGATTCATTCAACCCAGGTCCTGATAATACAAGATACTTATCCCCTATAGTCCAGGGATATGGATGACGGGATTCATTCAACCCGGGTCCTTGTAATACAGGACACTCATTTACTATTCCCTTATAGTACGGGGATACGGATTACGGGATTCATTCAGCCCGGGTCCTTGTAATACAGGACACTCATTTACTATCCCCTTTTAGTACGGGGATACGGATTACAGGATTTATTCAGCCCGGGTCCTTGTAATATAGGACACTCATTTACTATCCCCTTATAGTACGGGGATACGGATTACGGGATTCATTCAGCCCAGGTCCTTGTAATACAGGACACTCATTTACTATCCCTTATAGTACGGGGATACTGCACGTATAAACTAAAAGGAATTTTATTAAAGACCATCATTATTAAAAACAAAATAACACGTGATGGAGCTACCCTCCATTTAAAATGATTAACTAAGATGCCCCCAGTCTTTATTGTGAATGACTTGATAAGGCTAATTCCAGCCGCGAGACAATTTCTAATCGGTATACTCATCTGAGTCATTCTCATGATATGTGCTGTCACTCTGGCTGAAGAACGATTTCTTATATTTGGTATTATTTTCATCCCTGGCGAGAGGGGCTGGCCTCTTCTTGTCCTCTCCTTCCTTTCTTGCACTCATGGTGTCTTCAACGTTGATGTGTTTTTGCGCTCTGACTAGCAACTTTATCATGCTGGTGGGAGGTTCTTTTAATAAGGAGAATAAGAATCTGGAGGTTTGGAGTCCTCATATGAAAGCGGTCAAAGCTACCTTGTCGTCTGTCTCTTCTATCTGCAACATCTCTGCGTTGAATCGGGTGATGTATTCCCGAATCGACTCTTCCTTTTGTTGCTCCACGGTAAACAGGTAGGTAGCCGGCCTCCTATGCCTCTGACCTGCAATGAAATGGCTCACAAACTGCTTACTCCATTCTTCGAAGGTGTTGATGGTTCCTGGCTTCAACTTGTTGAACCAAACTCTCGCTGATCCCTTAAGTGTGGTGGGAAAAGCTCGGCACATGATTTCATCTGGCACAACGTGTAAATGCATAAGAGCTTAAAAAGTTTCCAGGTGATCGAGGGGATCTTTGGTCCCATCGAAGCTTTCTAACAAGGGCATCCTGAACTTGCTAGGTAGTGGACATTTCATAACGGCGGGACTGAAAGGCAAGTTGGTCCTTTGTACCAGGTCATCTACGGCGGCAGGACCTTTCCCTTTCATAACCTGCATTACATCTTCCATTTTCCCCTTAAGATCTTTGATCTGCAAGTCGAGATGGGTAACTTTCTTTGTCTTTTCCTTAAGACAGAAGGTTATGCTTTCAGGAGGTCGGGAACTCCGTAGGAGAGATAGGTGAACCACCTCTCTATGTCGGGTTCCCACTTGGCTTTGTTCCACTTCAGTCTCATTTTGGGGGGAATGATTATCCCTCTCTTCAAGATTTTCATTACCTCCGTTTGGACTTGAGAGATCTTGTCCGGGAAAGTTTTGTTGAGCCGGTGGAACAAGGTGTTGCAAGAGCGTTGCATTTTACTGGATCAACTGGTTCATACCCTGACTCAAAGTTTGAACCTGTAGTTCCAACGCTGCAAGCTGTGCCTGGTCATTTGGGACGTCCAGGTTTTCACCCGACTCTACCATTTAACCAGATCCCTGCGACGGTGTTCCTTCGGTAACCATACCGGACTGCAAACGTATATACCCAACGAGTAATTAATTGATTCAAGGGAATCGTGATTCCCACAGACGGCGCCAACTATTGAGGCTGAAATTCGCGCAATCCGATACGATATCGTTTTCCTGCAAGGAAGAGAGGAGAAGATCGATAAACCTTGACGGCACCGGTGTGGTGCCTGCCAAGAGCTCTCCGACGATCAAATTAGTCACGGAGGTCTAAAAAGAAGGCAGGGATTAATAATAGTTTTTACGTCGTACCTTCTTTAATGGCTCGATGCCCTATTTATGACTGTCGATTGGAATCAAAATCGTTCCGCTGATATCGATGGTTGACCTTATCTTCCGCTTGTACGAAATCATAGGAGATTTATTACCAGATATGTCGGGATATGATTTAATCCTTTTGACCTCCTCTAGTTATAGTAGGATTATTCTTACTTGTTGAACCACGTCAGATTTGATTTCATTATCCTTGATAATGAAATCTAATCAATCTTATCGAGGGTAGGTTAGGTTTATATTTTTCCCTATCAGTGCTCAATACGTCTTTTCACATAAAAATTGAATTGCTCTATCTTGTGATGTGGTTAACTCATAATCAGAGATTATGTAAATTTAAAAGTGATCGAATTTGTTTGTTGAGAATTACCATTTTCTGCCCAGCATTGTCTGGTGAATTAATGGATGTTTTTGGTATTGATATACATGTATTGGGGTCTACGTGCAATTTACTCCTCCGATGGAGGATGAGATTTTACAATCCCCTAATTTGAAGAGCTTTGCCATTAGCAAACTCAAAAGAGCCACCAAGAACTTCCGATCAGAAGGTAGTTCTGGTCTTGTCTTTAAAGGCTGGATTGATAAGAATACATTTAGAGCTACCAAACCAGGGACTGGCATGGTTGTAGCTGTAGAGAGACCAAACCCGCCACATAGTTTTCACAGTAGTCACCAGGAATGGTTGGTATGTATAATCTCTATTATCTGACCTTTCTACATAGTTTACAATACCTGGGATTCTTACAAGTGATGCCCCTCGCCAATAAACAAACATATAAATTCTCAATTTTTCGTGTATTCAGACAAATTGAGAGTTTTCATAATTGTTCATTGGATAGGATACCACATATACAATATCCTGATATTCTTAATTTTTTCACATATGATTAGAATCCTTAAATTAGTACATCTTACATTGGTAGGGTACAAATAAATTTTTAGTCTTGACAAGCCTTGTCTACCAAGTACAGGCAGAAATTAATTATTTAGGGCAGCTGTCTCATCCCAATATTGTGAAACTGGTCAGGTACTGTTTAGAGGACGAACATCAGCTTCTGGTATATGATGAGTTCATGTTTCCAGGTAGCTTGAAAAATCATCTATTTTCGAGTAAGTTCTTAATTATGACATTAATTAGCTCTTCAACCAATTCTCTTTATATATATATTATTCAGAGACCTTAGTACTTGTTGTTGGAATTAACAGGGGCTTCTTACGTCGAACCACTTTCTTGGAACCTCCGTATGAAGGTTGCTCTTGGCGCTGCAAAGGGACTTGCATATCTTCACAGCCCAAAAGCAAGAGTCATATATCGCGTTTTCGAATCCTCTAATATCCTGCTTGATTCTGTATGTGAAACACTTCAATAAATTTTTTTCAATGCTTCTTCTGAAAGTTCAACAATATATATTTGTGGACTCATAAAAATTTCATTGTTAATTGACAAGACTTCAATGTAAAGCTTTCTATTTCAGAGTCGACCAAGGTTGGGCCACTAGACAATGAAATCCATGTCATTGGTTATAAACCTCCTGAAGCGGCCATATGTACGGATGATGAACTGGCTTATGCATCTCCTGAGTATGTAGACACGGGTATTCTAAATTCTAGGTTTTATTCTAATTATCTAAAAACAGTTTTCTAACAAACCTAATGTTCATATCCTCCCTTCTGATGCTTAATTCATTCTCTTCTCTTGGGAAGGCCGTGCAACTACCAAAAGTGATATATATAATTTTGGGGTTGCTCTCTTCGAGATTTTGACTGGTGGACGAGCATTTGACAAGAACCGTCCACCGGGGGAATGCAGGCTTGTCGAATTGGTTAAGCCTTACCTAGCCAGCAAAGGCAAAACAGTAGTCCGTGTGATGGATGCTCGCATCGAAGGCCAGTACTCAGTGGATGCAGCACTAAGAGCAGCTACAATTGTTAAAGAATGCCTAGAAACAAAACCGATGTTGAGGCCAAACATGGATGAGGTGGTCAAAGCATTGGAGCAACTTCAGGAGCCTCACACAACGTGATCATTCCACAGGAAATGCAATTATTTGGCGATTGTTGCCATTTTTGTAAAGTACACAGAGAATTACTTTTATATTTAAACACCATTTCTACCAAATTTCTCTTCTACTTCATATTAAATTAACAGTTACCTTAATTAAATTAAATTATCTGTGTCTAATTTTGTTTTATAGGTTAACTTACAAGTCACGTCTATTATTCTCTAAACTATATGACTGTTGAGAGAGAATTACTTTTATATTTTGACAAGTCTCCTACCAAAATTCCTTTTCTACTCCATTTACATTTACTTAAGCTTTTGATCTTAACTTACGAGTCCCGATTATTATTTTAGTTAAAGTATACGTTATTGTTCATGAAGAAGTACTTTTATATTCAAACACGCGCGTCTTCTACCAATTTCCTCTTTTGATTTCTATATATTTGATAAGAATAAAAGAATAATGATATAGCGTCTGATTTAAATGTCCTGCTTTTGACCGGGTCTCGTTCATCAATTCTTTCCCTCTCTTCAACTATGACTTTGATTCTCTCTTTTTCTCTTTGATTTTGTATCTCTCTTGCAAATAAAAATCCTAATCTTCAATCTGTATCTAAATCTTAATTATAAGCCCTAATAATTAGGGGTGACACAGATCGAATTAGATTAGGCATCAATCCTAATTCGATCCGCTTCCAACGGATTAAGCAAATCTTAATCCATCACCAATCCATTATTCTACGGATCGGATCGGAACCGTGTAATAACGAATCGGATCAAATTAAATCCGCGTATTGAATTTTATTTAAATTATTTATTATTTATTATTTATTATTTTTATTTTTATTTTTATAATTAATATTATTTATTATTTATTTGTCTTTTAACCATAACCTAATAGATAAATTTTAATTTATTTATATTAATTCATATATTTAAATAATTATTAACTAATACATCATTTGAATCCATTAAATTATCATTAAGTAATTAAATTAACAAATATATTATTTGAATATATATATACATATATATTTCATGGATCGGATCGGATTTTTAACAGTCCAATTCGTGATTCAATCTGTAAGTTACGGAACTTACAGATTCGATTTTATTAAATTCGCCACTGATCATTGAGTGTAGCAATCTGATCCGATCGTACCGGATCAGATCAAATTCACAAATTCGTGGATTATTTGTCCACCCCCACTAATAATCTTCTCCCTTTTTTTCTTTTCTTTTTTTTTTTTGTATGTGTAAGTTAAAAAAAATAAAGGCTTGCTCCAACAACAAACTTGAATGCAACCCTTATGCTATATTTGATTGGAGAGAAGGATTGAGGAGGGATAGTTGAAAGGGGGATAAAAGAGGACAATACTTACTTACTCACCAGTGAGTAGGAAACTTATACTCACCACGTATACGGTGCATTGCTAAACTGACAAGTGTACTTACATTTTAAAAAATAAATAATAAATACTTATCAAAAAAAATAAATAAATAAATAATTTAATAACTATCTGATTAAACCCAAATGAATCTAAATCAAATTATAATTCTCTCTCCTCTCCCTCTGTACATTGGATTGTAATTACTAAAATTTGATTTTGGTCATATTGTTTCTTAAGAAAACATCATAATAATATTAAATTCCCACGAAAGTATTTGAGAAGTGCTTTCGCAAGTAAGAAGGGGAGGATTATGGTTTGATTTGAATCATGTTGGGTTTAAACCGAATAGCATTTTGAATTTTTTATTTTCTATTATTATTAGTTTATCATGGGACACTTGTCATTCAATTTTTGCGACACATCAATGGTGAGTGTGAACTTTCTACTCACCGATGAGTAGGCAAGTATTATCCAATAAAATGGGTTTTTTGTGTTTGGTGAAAGGAAAGGGAAAAGAGAGAGGAATCATTCCTTTGTAATTTGGACAATACTTGCCTACTCACCTGTGAGTAGAAAACTTATATTCACCACTAATGTGGCGTATTGCTAAACTGACAAGTGTCCTTACATTTAAAAAAATAAAAAATAAACAAATTTATCATATGATTTGCTCCTTTGACATGGTCAATACCAACACACAAAGAAATGAATTCATATACCACTTAAGGCTTTTGTTCATCTTTCTATAAAGTTGCTGGAGAAAAAAGACAGCTGAAACTTGAAATTAAATGGGGTTCTATCTATGCATGAACGAGGAATGAGACTACTATTGACCTAGATAGTGAAACATCATGGGAACTGGAACGACCCTTTAATTTGAGAATTACCTGATGGGGGATTGATTGCCACCCAGATGAGAGATATAGTAATTACAATCAAACGTATAAAGGGAGAGGATAGAGAATTATAATTTGATTCGGATTCATTTTGGTTTAAGTAGATAGCTATTAAATTTTTTATTTTTTATTTAAAAAAAAAAAAAAAAAAAAAAAGTAAGAAACCTATTCGGACCGAGTTCACATAAAATAGGTAGAGGACCACATTAAGAGTTACAACACTTGAGTCAATTTAGGGCCATGTAATGCCTCGGTTTATATTATAAAGCGTGTTTAAGATATTTTGTCTTTTATATTTTTTTTTCTAAACAAAAGTTAATTATAGGAGGTAGTTTGGTAAATACAAAATGACATCGGACGGAAAATGGTTAGAGGTGAAACGTAAGGAGGTAAGTTGCTCACTTTTGAAACTACCTAGACTAATTTGCTCACTTTTATACCATATAGGGGTATTGTGCTCCCTTGGTAAAATCTCAGGTTTCTTTTTTTGCACTTTTGCCAAATTCTTTTAATATTCCTCGTTACTTACAACATAGAAGCATTGTAAAGAATTGGGCAACATAACTGTAACGACTCACTCCACCACATGGTATGATATTGTCCGCTTTGGACCTGAGCTTGCACAGTTTTACTCTTGGGTTTTGCCCTAAAAAGCCTCATATCAATTGAAGTGACACACCTACATATAAGCACTTCACATTTCCCTTACGCAGACGATATGGGATTGTGCACCCGTAACTCGCTAGTATGGTAGCCTGACAGTGTCTTGTACCCGTCCACGGCACACCCGCCCACAGGGTCATCACAGTCCACTCCCCTTGGAGGTCCGACGTCCCTGTCAGCACACTTCCACTTGGGTCAAGCTTTGATACAATTTTTAACGACCCACTCCACCACATGGATTTTTCTGTAATTTTCTGGAATTGTTTTATAATTTCTGAAATATTTTTAGAATTAATTGTAATAATTTTTGGTAATTAATAAATTTAATTAAAGCATTGATACTCAAGGTAAAATCCTTATGAGTTATAAGAGGAAAGTTAGAAAAGAACTCGCCTAAAGGTTTCGAAACGAAACCGACGCTTCAAGCTTTAATTGTCTATTCCAATTCCGGCGTCCTCTTTCGTTGATCCAGCATCCTCCTTGTCAGTCTTATTTTCTTCTCTCTCTCTACCTTTCTTATTTTCTAATATGAAAAACTTTCAACAATAAAACCTTATGTGTATATTTATACACATTAATTACCCTAATCATATTCCTACTAGAATTACCAAATAAAAATAAAAATAATTATCTTTAAATAATTATTAGTTAATTAAATCATATATATCAATAAATAAATAAATATATATATATAAATAATTATTAGTTAATTAAATCATATATATCAATAAATAAATAAATATATATATATATATAATTATTCAAAAACGATCATTTAAATAATCACATAATCATGGGTCTTTATTAATTAACTCAACAAGGTTTCATCTAAGCCCAAGACCATATCCTTTGGTCTAACTTTCCTTAAGCCCTCCAATTTATTTAAATAAATAAAATAATTAAATAAACACTTAAATTAAAATAATTAATTACATAAAGCACATAAACAAACAAAAATTTACAACTAAGTCATACCATACCAATAAAATCAACACGTCAACAATTCAATCAATAATTAAGCACACACACAACAATCATTATATCAATAATTCATGAAATATAAATAAAATAAAACAATTAATCTAAGGACTCAATAGAACAAATCAATTAAAACTTAAAATAAACACAATTAATTCAAAATAAATCAAATAAATTATTTTAAAATAAAATAAAAGTAATCAATCCTAATTTAATAAATCATTTAAAATATCGGGGTATTACAATAACCCCTTTACATCATGGGCTTCTGGTATGAGCTTGTATCCTCCACTACAGGCTTGTCCGTAGCCTTTACTAGCAATTGGGTTAGGTCCAAAACAGGCCCATATGTATGCAAGGAAAGACTCATGCTAATTGGATACAACTTTTGTTTAATTTCTACTCTGATTATATATAGTACTAAAGGAATAGAGAGTTGACATCCATTCCATTTTTCTTCCTTTCGCCGTCAAGGGTCTCTGTCTTCACAATGTTCTCATTTCATCAAGAGATTGAGCGTTTTGCTCTTTTGCTCTGTCTTCAGAATGTTCTCGATTCATCGAGAGATTGAGCGTTTTGCTCTTTTGCTCTGTCTTCAGAATGTTCTCGATTCATCGAGAGATTGAGCGTTTTGCTCTTTTGCTCTGTCTTCAGAATGTTCTCGATTCATCGAGAGATTGAGCGTTTTGCTCTTTTGCTTTCACTCCTTCGCAAGTTGTGAGTGTTGATTTGCTGATCTGGGGCGATTTGTGCCCGGTTTTATTGTCGATCTTCCTTGGGTGTTGGTTGGGTGTGTTTGGCCGCTGTTGTTTCGCTTCTTGTATCATGGCAATTCAGAGGGGAATCTCTTGGATTCGATTCGTTGTGTCCTCCGACTTTTAACGTTTTGTTCTCCTCTCTATGCTTTCTTGCTCTTTTCTCCGTTCTTGGGTGATTTTCGTGGTTGTTTTTGGTTCTTTTTCCTACCATGCTGTCCTGGTCGAGTGTGTGTGGAGATTATGATTCGAGTATTGTTTGACCTGTTCCGGTTGTGCCATAACCTGCCCATATTTGGAGTTGGTGCTTCGCTTATTGGGCAAAACTAGTGTAGGAGA